TTTTTTTTCTCGGACACCACGATCAATCGATTACATTGCGGAAACTTTCTTCACTAATTGACGACAAGATACAAGAAAGAAAAAAAAAAAAAAGTCATTGAACAAGCGCCACGCAGCACGAGATTGGTCTTCTTTTGATATGATTTTTTATGTACGCGACTGCCATCTTGTTGGGCCGTAAAAGTGTCGGTGGCGCCATCTGTCCACCAATTGAACAATTTATTTTCCTAATTATTCCCGTCCTTTTGCGTGACTCAGACGGTCATTCGCAGAAATCATTCAAAGAGAGATTCATCTTCCCACGAATAGTTGATCATCGAGCGGGGAAAACGCGAGCGTGACTCATTTTGCAAGAGGAATGTGCGAACACGCCAATTAATGACGTGAATATACCGGTGTAAGTTAACCGCGTCTTTTTTTAGACCGCTGCTTTAGTTATTTGCTTCCACTCCGCACAGTTACTTTAATTCGTTACAGCGACGAGACGATAAAATTCTATTCTAATATTTACAGTCGATCGTAGAAAGCAATTATCGATGAAAGAAAAGCAACGTTAATCTTGAACTTCCACTTTCGAAAGAAAAAAAAAACCGGTATGTTTGAACAGTCGTCTGTCCAAATGTAGCCTATGAACGCACAAACACTCTACTGATCTGTGTAAACTGTAATAATCGTTTATCTCTGATAACTATTTGTCAAATGATCTACTAGAGTAGTGTAAATAAAACATGCACGAACACCCTAGAATCTCTTCTGAAAGGCGTGTATCGTTATGTACCGTCAGTTGGTCAGGTAGATCTCTGATCGTTACGAGACGAGTAATTTATTCCTGTTTTGCGAAACAAGTTACGAAAAAAACGCGACAACGATCACGAATGCTCAGTTGCCCAAGCCGTAGCTATCCATTACGTCCCATTTTCATGGCGAGAGGACATCGTGTCTCGGAGCATCGTCGATGGGAAATTTGCAAGCGAATTATTCGTCATAAACGTTGGGCTATCGATGTCGCAAACCAGTTGCTATCTCTGCCGAGGATGCTCCAATTACACGCGATAACGTTACAAGGATATCTTTCTTGCTAATTAATCAAACGATAAAAAACGCATTTAACTTGTATGAGCAACAGATGTTGCACTTTCAACGAAATTCTCAGAAAGTACATCGTGCTTTTTCTGTTCAATGCAGGAACAAAGTTGACTTTTAACTTTATCTTAATAGGTTATTGGTATTGATCTCGCCCTATGTGATCACAAATCAATATAATATAAAATATAATAATAATATGATAAAATATAAAATAGAACTCCTAAGGTAGAAATTCCTTGAATTGATATTTCCTTGAATAAATATTTCTTCTTGTACAGAAGATTTTCAGGAGTTCTAGGTTGATTTAGGGGTTCTAGGTTGTTGGTGTTAACCTCTTGCGCTATTAACTAATTCACGGACCATAACGAGTAACCAAACCATATACAATAATCCGTCTTCTTTTTGAATTCATCGATATATCACTGGAGATAGAAATTACTAAGAAGTGACAAAATTTATTATTTGTTTTGCCCGGGTTGTATTTCAGTTATACTTAAAATATTGCAATTTTGGGCCAAATGTTTTCGACACTGTCATTCCAGCGCAAGAAGTTAATCTCATCCAACATAACGGTCTTTGAATCACGAATTATACGCATTAAGTGAAATTTATTTTCACTTGTTCATAATGGCATGACGAAAGCCTCATTCAAATTGTTTATATATAGCGGAAAAGAATGCAAAAATTTGGCCAATTATTGGTACAGAACGCGCGCCACGTAAACACGTAAATACTCTCCGTACCGCTAGGCTGCCCTCTATGGTCGTCTCTTTTACCGCCTCTCGGTAATACCGTTATGTCTGCATTTTTCCCCCCTCGTCTGCTGTGTATGTTTCAAACTTTCCGATTCAAAGACGAAGGGGCTGATTACAATACGACGTAAGAAGAGCGTAGTTTTCGAGAACACAAACTCATTATGCACTTGCACGACCGTTCTTTCGAAAAGAAGTATACAGGGTGTTCACAGAGATTGAAACTGCCTAGTAATTTTTCCTTGTAAACGGTGGATGGAAGAGGACAAAGTTGTACTGTCTTTTTATGTGTATACACATACGCTTTATTGTTAAATTAATATTTTTAATTATTATATAATTCATTAATGATGATTAATATTACATTGAAATTTTTTCTGGTCATACTCTTTTTTTTTGAAAACCGAAGGAGATTTTCAATTTTTTAAATGCAATATATATATATATATATTTCTTTCTTTTACATTATGTAAAAGTGTATTCAACGATGTAGATTTTCTATATTGCCTCTTAATCTGACTTTTCTCTCCTCGCATGCTTTTCTCGTTCAGAATTAAAGTGTAAAGTTGCGATTTTCGAAGGTGTGTAATTTGTTGTTCCGCTGTCTCGTTTCAGACGCTAAAATGAGATTAGAAGAAGATCTCGTGATTCGCAGGAGTAGACCAACGATGATTTCCGCCAAATATCGCGCGAGGGAAGAGCGCCGCCGCTTGCTGAAAATCTCAGCTGGCAAGCTGAGGAGGATCGAAGACCCAGAGGCTAGCCTGTGCAGATCAGTCCTCATAAACAACGCCGTCAGACGATTGCAACGCGAGAATCGTGACGACAAGACGAGGAACTACGGGTTGCCGGTGGTCCCGTATCTGAACGACTCCACCAAAGAGAATGACATCTCTAGTAATCTTATCGTCGGACTGACGGACGACGAGACCTCCTCAAGAAAAAGGTAAGAGAGATCCCTTTGATCGGCCTAATTTTTAAATGCCTAAACAGCAGGGAATGTGCATCGCAATTAGCATAATAATTAAGCAGCACTTTCTTCTTTTTTTAATAGTTAATATTTTTAACTACTCCTCAGAAAAGTTTTAAAGATATTATTATTAGTTTATAATATTATATAATAAATAAATGATATTTATTATATTTGTTATAATAAATGAAAATTATTAATAAATAAATAATATTAAAATTTATGGTAATGTACTCCCAAGAAAATTTAAAAAGTTTTCGGGCAACGTATCATTACGTCACGAACAAGTTATTTGTAAATTAAATACAAAATTTAATGAAAATAATGTGCGGGGAAAAAATAATGAAGTTGAAGAAAACAATATCAAAAGCATAGCAAAGATAAAGCAGAAAGCGAGTGAAACAAGCAGCGTAGAAAGCAAGATAGCGATTGAGGTTAGGTAATAAGAGATTGAAGCACAGACTTTTACAACTGATTGTAGAGCCGGATGTAACAAGTCAATTCGATTTGAAACCATACTTGAGCAAAGAGCAAGTTCTAGTAATCGGATCGAGGAAAAATTTAATTCTAAATTCATTTTAACGGTATTTAGATTTATGCAGAGAAAACTGGACTGATGTCGAAAGTTGCACGATTTTGAGTAAAAAGAGAATATCTGGTATTAGTCTCCGTTTCTCTAAAGTAAACACGTTTAAACGTGTTTATGTTGAAGTACGGGTGCAACGTAATTACGGATCAAATTTGTCCATTTGAACGTGCGTTGCCCGTTAAATGGCAGCTCTGACGTAGGGATGTCGGCATTTAATCATATCTCGTTCGAAACAATAACGTTGTAGGTGAGGGGAGACAAAGATACGTATATATGTATATATAGGGTGCTTCCGAAATCGTGGTGCAACCGATAGAATGTAATTTTACAAATTTTAAAAATCAGTGATAACCTTATATATATATAAATATATGAAACCTTAAGTTTAGGTTATATATATATATATAGATTTAGGTTATATATATATATAAAATATTAGGTTTAGGTTAGGTTATATACATATATATAATGTTAGGTTTAGGTTAGGTTATATATATACATATAGGTTAGGTTTAGGATAACGCTAAAAGTCCCACCTATTTTTTTTTCTTTAAATAAAACATCAATATAATAAACTAAATTTAAAATTAGTAAAATTAGTTTTATTTATTTTAGTAGGAAATAATTTTTGGCCTGCTTTATATATAATCTAACCTAAGTATATATATATACCTAACCTAAATCTAAGGTTATATATATACCTAACCTAAATCTAAGGTTATATATATATATAACCTAACCTAAACCTAAGGTTATATATAGTAGTTTAGTATAGTACAGTACAGTACATATGTACCATATAGTGTAACAATATATATATATGATATTGTTTACATTTCGTACGTATCACACGATGCAAACGATCGTGCTATTTTGGAAAACATTCGAAAGAAGAATAAGGCAGATCTTTCTCGGTTAGAAGAGATTCGTTTTACATAATACAGGTTATGCAAGTAACGGCGCGAATCGTGCGTTGATTGCGCAACGTCATCGGGGCGGGAGGGGGCGGGCAACGTGTGTTGTGTCCGCTCTCGCCTAGTTCTCTCGTAATTTCCGGAAACAACCGAACCTCAACCGATCCTCAGTTACGAGCGATAATTTTGCTTGTTTTTTTTTTTTTAGATTGAACGACGACACGAGTAACGACGGTGTCAGCCCGAAACGAGAGAGGCACGACGATCTTGACCTTCAGGAGGACGTGTTCAGCGACTTTTACATACTGCCTCCGACACCGCGGTTACTCTCGCACATAGACGATGTCCAGGAACCCGAGTCCCCGCATCATCATCACTTGGTGTATTCCGAGGATCGTCTGGGCACCGTGGACGTTCGATCGACGACGACCATCATCAGCAGCAGCACCGCAAACACGACCATCAGCACCAGCACCAGCACCAGCAGCAGCAACAGCAGCACGTCCACGAGCAGTTGCTGCAACCCGGTCATGTTCCCAACGGAGCTCAACGGCGCTAGCAGTCAGCTGGCCGACGTTGCCAGGTCCGCCGACGTGGAAATGATGGTGGCGTCGGATGTCGATCCCGATAGAATCTGCGATTTTGCGAGGTTCGCCGATTCCACGAAAAGCCTGGAGGAACGTTTGGCCGACCTGCAGTCGCTGGACGAGCACTTCGAGCTGGTGAAATTCGAGAGGAACAACAATCAGAGTTGCGGCAGAGCGTTCCACGATATCCAGACCTTCCACAGTTTGGTGCCCGGACTGGAAACCTAGAAGGGAGCCCCGTGCCTCGAGCACCCTCCTCTCGTCGGGTCTGGCTCGACAGAGAACGAAGACCACAACCACGACCACGACCATGACCACGACCACGACCACGACCACGACCACAACCACGACCACGACCACCACCATCATCATCACCACCACTACCACCACCACCACCATCACCACCACCACCACGATCACCACCACGACCATGATGACGACGACGACACGGGTAAACGGCTTCGCGGCACACACGATGAACCACGGCGAGAATGAACTTTGGATCTGTCTGGAAATCGGCGTTCCCTATGGCGTCTCGGCTCGATGGAAGAACGAGTATCGTCGACTCGGCTCGACGACCTGTTCAGAGACTCTTTGTTTGACTTACGGAGAAAGTACAGAGAATGAACTTCATTATTAACTTAGAAGTTACTGATAGCAGAGAGAGATAATTGAGCTCTACCGTAAGGCTTATTTCCATCGTCCTTGAGTTCTTTCTTTTTTGGTCGTTTAGCAACCGTCAACGATGAAAGACTGCGTAAGAAGTAAGAAGTAAAAAGTGAGAGACGTTCATGAATTGAATGCGTTTTCAGCGGTTCAGGATGGATGAACGGGTTGTAACTTTTGATAGGAGTGTTGTCGATGAGTATGTTACCACAGTGATTGGTATAAATAATATGGTTGGGGTTGTGTACATATATCAGTACCAAAATATCCTGAAACACGCATCAAGTATACAGTTTGTATATATTCGAGTATGTTTCTAAAGGCATATTAACAATTATATTATAGGCGAATTTGTAGTGGAATTTTTTTTTTTAATTTTTAATTTTTAATTTTTTTTTTTTTTTTGTTTTTGTTTTTGTTTTGTGGGAAAAATGGAGAAGCGCCGAGCAGAGTAAGAGGAAAAAATGCCGAAGACGAGACGAGTGCGCTCGCGTCTAATGTGTATAAATGCCTTTTAGAATAGATGCAAATCGATGTAAGCACGATGTGCGCTCAAAATTAATCGAACGTTGCGCAATTATGCCACAGTGGGCCTTCGACTTTTTTTTTTAACAATATTTTATCGTTCCTTTCTATCGTCTCATTCGTAATTTTTCTCTTTCGTGGTTCCTCTGTTTCCAAAAAAATAAATTTTGGAAAATTTCGAAAGATTTCTTTTTTTATATATATAAATATGTATATATATATATATATATATTATATATATATAAAAATCTCAAACGGCGGGAAATCGTTCATTATATCTTTTTTGATTTTCTCTCTCTTTTTTTTTGTACGATATTCCCGTCGGTAGTCAACGACCACGCTGACCACGTTTATGCCTTCTCGCGTGGCATTTTCTTCTTTCTTGTTTAACACTTTCTCTCCTTTTTATTCCTAATGATGGAAGTTCGTTAGTTAGTACGAATTTGTAAAGCTTCAGGATTGTGTTACGTCGAAACGCGCGATTTATATACACGCTCCTGTTTATCATACTTTATTTTTTTTTTTATTTTTATTTTTATTTTGTATTTTGTATTTTATAAAGAAATATGCAATAAGCTCGGTTTTGTAAGACGTACGTTTTAGCATGAATTTTGCGGACACTGTGCAGTGCAATATAGCTTATCTCTCTGTTTTCTCACGGACGAACACCGAGACAAGTTGCACGTCGGTCTCGAACATCAAACATATTATTGTTATTATTATTATTACTATTACTATCATTATATTATTATTATTATTATTACTATTATTACTATTACTATTACTATTACTATTAATATTATATAAACGCGTGAATGTTCGGGATCGATTTGCGACCCTCTTTGGCCATCTCGTGTCGTAACAGTGCCGCCATGTTTCATCTGCTAAGTTCACGTGCTAAAAAAAAAGAAAA